ATCAATTTTTATACAATTTCAAAATTTGTTTACAAAGTGTCATTTTCAATTTTGGCGGTCAATTATCATATATAATTCTATATTAAAAAAATTTTGATTACGGCAACGTTGAAAAAACGCTGCAAAAGGGTCTACCGCAACGTTAAAAAACGCTGCAAGATGGTCTACCGCAACTTTGAAAAAACGCTGCAAAAGAATTTACCGCAACATTTAAAAAACGCTACAAAAGAATTTTTCGCAACGGTGAATAAACGCTGCAAAAAGTATTCCCTCAACGGCAACACCGACCTCCTCAACACTTGGAAAAACGCTGCAAAAGGTCTTTTACAGCTTTTTTTGACCGCTGCAAAAGCCCTTTTTTGGTGTAGTGATTTTTCAAAAAAAAAAAGTATAAAAAATAAATAGTAGAAAAAAGTTGTAGGTTCACGTACAAATTACAAAATCATTTTATTGGGAGAACGTATAATCGAAAATGAATTTTAAAAAAACTGAAGTCAAAACAATACTTACCAAACAAGACAACATGAATTTGAGTGTGGTTCCCTAACACGTTTATGGGAGGAGGATAAAAACCCGTGTTTTAAAGGTGATGGTGTGATGTTTCAAATTATCCAGTTGAGGTTATTGGTGTATTAGTCTAGATGGTTTGAATTGAGCTAATTTAGAGTTGATAACAGACTCTCTCTAGTTTTCTCTTGATTCTCATTTCTTTTGACTTTTTCATGGTGATGATACTCGATGGAACATCTGGTGACCTGCTAGTGAACAGTAACTTCTGTATTTGTTTAGGGTGGTCTCTGGGGTTTGAAACGACGGTTAAGGGTATGGTTTTTCTGAGGCTCCAGGTGAAAATATCACTCGAAAAGTATTGTTGTGATTCAATAAGGCTAAAATCTGAGTCCAACCTTTGAAGCGGCGTAGAATCTACAAGAAGAAGAGTTCAGCTTGGGATCTTCATGAACAAATGATTCAAGCTTCAATTTCTTTGATGTTCTTGGTGTTGGAAGGTTAAAATCCGATAGTTTTAGTTTTTTATTTAATATTTGTGGGATAAAATCCTAATTATAAAACTGGTATCAGAGCTCATTCAAAGGTTCTGGTATGGTTCACGGTTGAATTGGCAACATCTATCCTGATTCGTGATAGATTGTGGTACTCGAGGGTGAATTCAAATGATTTCTGGTGCAATCTAAATCCTGTGATCTGGTGAGTTTTTTTGGTAAATTGCGGTGAAACAAATACTGAAGTCTGTACAATACTGTTTTAGGAGCATGTTTGCCCACATAACAATAGTCTATCACTAAACTAATACATGTATGTGAAATACACTATTAAAATATATGAGAAAAAATAGTTTCTATTTGTTGTGATGTTCGAGTAATGAATGTGTAATAGCTAGAGTTAAAGTGGATCATGTAATTCAAAACAGCCCTGTCTATATAGGTGTGAGTGAGGAGAATTTGCAACCTGTGATGTTCCTTTACTACTTCAAAGGAGTGCAATATGCCTTTCCATGCTTCCTATTCCGATTGTTGTTTTGTGTTGCGTTGTGTTGTGTTGTGTTCATCAGGTTGTTTACGTAAGATTCTTGTTCTCCAGTTCNCTTTCCATGCTCCCTATTCCGATTGTTGTTTTGTGTTGCGTTGTGTTGTGTTGTGTTCTTCAGGTTGTTTACGTAAGAGTCTTGTTCTCCAGTTCTGCAACAGAGTCTCGCTGGCAGATGAAAGCAGATGATTAAGATCGAGTCTGTTACATGATTACAGGGAAAAGGGGAAAAATGGTACAAAGAAAAGTATAAATGTAGATAATGAATGGGTATCATTTGGTCTAATAATACACGTTCCCTCTTGTAACTGCATGGCTTCTGCATCTTGGCATTACGATCTCACTCTTCATGATGATATGCTCTTGGAAGTCACAAGGCTCGTCCTCATCGATTGTTCCAATTTTACCTAAGGTAACACTGTAACTTCTGTCCATACCATTATACCCAGGAAATCTTTGCTCTCTCTCATTCAGACGAACATTATTAGATTCTGGGCTGTGCCAATTAAATTTCTTGGCAATCGATTTACAAAGCTCTTCAAATTTATCGTAGTTGCTTGCTTTGCTGGGCGTTCGACCAAAGTTTTTTGGTGGCGTCTGCAGAGTTGGATAGCCCATAATATTGGTGGGTGCAACTCTACCATCGAAGCTGACCATTGCGTCGATGTAAAAATCTCTGGCCTTGCGCAGAAGTCTTTTTGGTGCACCAATGTATTGCCTGAGTTTCTTTTGCCTATTTTCTGTGATCCTCATGTTTGTAATGCTTAATGAAGAAGTGAAATGCAATAGACCTCGAGGCTTAAATGGTGTTTTGCTTCGTGTTATGTTTATCGATTTTAGGTTTATATAAAGAAGAATTTAGGATGATTTCAATTCAAAGGGGAAGGAGACTCCAAGGGTATTTCGTTTTGATTACAGATTCAAAAGCTCTCTCTTTTGTCATTTATTCATTGTTAATATTAATTTTTTGGGAGGTTGAAGTTGAGTCAAAATTTAGCAGTCAACTGGCTACAGAAAGAAATAAATATGGGAATAAAAAGAAGATTAAAACACAAGATCATAAGTCTCCACTAACTTCAGTTAATCAACAATCAATTTAGCGGTCAGAGGTGAATTAATCCAAAATTCAAGTCTTGCATAATGAAGTTGGATCGATCTATGC